AATTTCCCCAGCTGGGCCCTGGAACTCTGCCAGGGATGCTTTCCTGAGAAGGACTCTGAACACAAGCAGAAATCATTGGCCAAGGGCCCAGGCCTTCAAGCCAAACAGCAGCTTAGTTAAAAGGGACATAAGGTTTAGACATAAGCACGCTGTTCCAAGCTCCAACACAAAAATATTTATTAGCTTCCTTTGGAAATTTTAGATGGCAGGAGAAATGTTCATTGGCAACAGGTGTTAAAGGATAAAAATTTTAACAAAAATTAAGCCTTGGGAAATAAAAGATGTTTTAAACATCTTTTATTTTTCATCTAATATTCCTTTTGGGAAGATTAATAATATTTCTCATCATTGACCAAGTAAGTCCCAACTCTGGAAATGATGAAAGGAGAGGCAATGTGCTCTGTCACCATGAAGATGACAAGTTCTCTCCTCATTTTTAAACTTCAGATTCCATGTGGAAATAGAGCAATTAAAAAAAAAAAGAGGCCAAAAGGAAGAGTTTATGGATACAAAAGCCATTTTAGAAAGATTCGTGAACCCGTTAAAAATCAAAATAAGTGATTCATAAACCTATTTAAAGTACTGATTCTAAAAGTTTGAGGCATGCATTCAGATCCAGTGTTTATAAATCCTGGTACCTGTTTGAAAATGGCCATTGGCACTCACTGTCATCTAATATGGGAGCCAAGGAAACATTTTGATAACCCTTCTATTAACAATCTCATTAACAGTCTTCCAAAGTTGACTTCTATACTGTATTGCCAATGAGTGTCTTCAAACATCCCTATTCCATAATAAGGAAGCAGGCTGTTTTTAGAAGGTTCAATTAATAGTTCCAATACAGAAGGTGGAGAGTGCATCTGGCAGACAGAACATGCCATAAATCCTCACTGATGGCCAGAACAGCAGGTCCTCCAAGTAGGAGTTTAATGAGGACAGAACTGCCAAGGACCCATGGGGCCATTCAGCAAGATGCGAAGGGGAAAAGCAAGCACTGTGGCTCCCTAATGAGAGATGGCAGCAGAGGAAAAGGCCTTCCTAATTAAAACCTGTGCCAAGGAATAAGCATGTCTGGTAGTGGCCAAATTCCCATTTTGTGCAAGAAACAAGAATAAACCAGCTGTATCAGGAATGCACAAATGTAATCTGACCAGAAGGCAGGGGTGATAGCTATCTAAAACAAGCTATAGGTGTTCACTAGGAAAAAAATATACAATTGATTTCTAAACACTGACAATATATACAGGCCTAGGGTCAATTCCACAGACCTTACTATACTTATACCTTATCCCTTTTACAGGTGTTTTTCACTGATGCTACAGATGTTAAAGTAATACAAAATGATACACTTTGATTCCCCAGAAAAATTCACCTATGAAAATTATTGAGATAATGGTCATTTGGCTTAAAGCAATTGATACGGTTTGGATCTGGGTCCCCTCCCAAATCTCATGTTGAAATGTAATCCCCAAATACGAATGGGCCTGGTGAGAGGTGACTGGATCCTGGGTGTGGTTTCTCATGGTTTAACACCCTCCTCCACTGGTGCTGTCATCAAGATAGTGAGTTCTCATGAAATCTAATTGTTCAAAGGTCTGTGGAACCTCTCTTTCGCTTCTGCTCCACCATGTAAGGCATAGCCATGCCTCTCCTTCACGTTCTGCCATGATTATAAATTTCCTGTGGCCTCCCAAGAAACCAAGCAGATCCCAGCATCATGCTTCTTGCACAGCCGATGGAACCATGAGCCAATTAAACCTTTTTTCTTTACAAATTATCCAGTCTCAACTATTTTTTTTTTCCTTTGAGACAAGGTCTGGTTCTACGACCCAGGCTGGAGTGCAGTGGTGCCATCTGCACCAGACGGAGTACACAGCACCACGTCTGGCTAAATTTTGTATTTTTTTGTAGAGATAGGGTTTTGTTATGTTGCCCAGGCTGGTTTTGAATGCATAAACTCAAGCGATCAACCCACCTACCTCAGCCTCCCGATGTGCTGGGATTATAGGCATGAGCCACCATGCACAGCCATAGCTATTTCTTTACAGCAGTGAGAGAACAAACTAATACAGCAATAAAGACTTCCTGAGCCCTGCTGGCTCACTGAAAAGCCACGTTCCACCTGTGATGAGAAAGCTCGAGCTAGTGGAGGGACCTGGTAACTTTTGGTATAGCAATGTCTTACTAGGACTAGGCTTCTGGAAGCCAAGGACAGCTATTCCTGTTTTTTGACTCTGGATGGCACCTCTAGTTGTCACTAAGCAAGAGAAGAACCAATAAAATGGCAAAGAGCTGTGAAAGGCTTACTACCTGTAATGTCAGGAGCATGGCAAAGCAAGGATTGTGTACATGTCTAATCTAAGCATGAATCAAAGGGCTCTGCTTGGTGAGCCTAGCCTCTAATTCATTCCTACATTGCATGGCCTTGAGAAACATATGTAAACTCACTCTGTGCATCAATTTTTCCAAGTTAAAAAAAGGAAGAATGTTCTAGCTCTCTCTTTGTTATAGAAGTGTTTTATGTGACTACCTAGATAAAAGGTCTCCTCAAAAAAAGAAAATAAAATACAATATGAGCCTTGCACAGTATCTGGCACATAGAAAATAATCAGTCTATATGTGTTGACACTGCATGAGCAAAGAAGGCACCCTCATGTAGGACAGAAGAGACCCACTTGGCATGCCATCACTAAAGAGTCTTTAAATGATTTCAGAAACCAACCCAGAGTATTGGGTACAATGAGTAAGGGAATCACAAGTTATGGTGTCAAAGAGTCATCTGTTATGCCCAACCTCACCTTGGTAGGGACCATCTACTTCTTCTGAGAATCAGTTGGGTTATACCATATTAAGGGCCTTGTAGCCATACAAGTCAGAAAAGACAGCTTTTTGCCAGCCAAGTAAGCCACTGCTGTAGGATGGTGGAAGGAGCATATGTGGGTAAGGGGGGCTCAGGTAGTAGGCCCACAGACTCCTAAATGCTTTTCAGCTGCAACTTGGATACCAGTTTGCAACTTAGCAGATGACTGGTCTAACCAAGAAATGATAAATTGTAGTACTGTTGTCCATCATAATATAAAGGAATTGATTTTGCTTATTTAATTACCCTCAACTTACTGATCCTCACCATGAGCAGTCACAGGGGTGCAAAGATGAACATATCTTGCTTGCTGGGGACTAAATGCTTGTGCCCCCCTCAAATATATATATTAAAACTCTAACCCCCAAAGTGATAGTATTAGGACATGGGGCCTTTTGGCAGAAGCCCTTGTGAATGGGATTCATGCCCTTATAAAGAAGGTCTCATAGAACCGTCTTGCCCCTCCACCATGTGAGGACACATTGAGAAGGCTGTCATCTCAAAGTGAACCATTGCCAGACATTGAATCTGCTGGTGCCTTGATAGTGGACATCTCAATTTCCAGAACTATGAGAAATAGATTTTATAAGCTACTCAGTCAGTCTGGCATTTTGTTATATTAGCTCAACTGGACTAAGAGGATAAAAGTATGTTTTATCCTCCAAGTATTTGAGCTTTGTCTTGAAGGTTTTAGAAATATAACTCTTAGGCAGCATATAAACAAGAATGACTACTTTCATCTGGGACAGGTGGAAACGAGATCACAGTTCACAGTAGTCTCTTAAAGAGTAGTTTAATAGAGTGGGCAAAAGGAGAGGGAACTCTACGTGTGTCAGTGATATTAAGGAAGTTGGTACAAGTAGTGGCAAAAAAGAAAGCAAAGGAAAACGTCTTGGGTGACATGACTGTTGGTTATAATGGTTACTGGAGGAAGAACAAGACTAGAAGTCCATGTCTTCAGTCAGGAGCACCATGTATGTAAGGCTTAGTTTCCTCATTCATAAAATAAGTATAAATAATAAAATAAACTGGGCCTTTGAGTTATTGAGACTAAATGATATAATGCACAAAAATAACACAATATATGTTGAGTATCCCTTACCCAAATGCTTGGGATTAGAAGTGTTTTGAACTTTGGATTTCTCTGGGTTCTCGAATGTTTGCATTATACTTACAGATTGGCATCCCTAACATAAACATCTGAAATGCAAAATGCTCCAATGAGCATTTGCTTTGGGTGCCATGTTAGCACTAAGAAAGTATCAAATTTCAGAGAATTTTGGATTTTCAGATTTAGGGATATTTAACCAATCCTATCATCTGTGACTACAGATGTGGGAGTATGGACCCAGAAAGAACTTGGGGCAGAAGAGAAACATTTCAAAATTAATGGCATGAAGGTTATGATTGGAAGTGTCAGGAAGTATGAACTGTATCATCCAAGGAGATAGCATCCTGTAATTCAGGTCCAGAATTCTGGTGCACCCAAACACGTAGAGTATGGGGCATTAAGACAAAGGACAGCAAGATGACTTTGAAGGATTGATTCAAATATGGTGTCAGGGAAAAATAAGCAGTAAAGAGCCAGAAGTGCCGATTCTGCCCAGAGCTGGTAGGATGAAAGCCAGAATAAGTGGATTTAACACATAGGGGGTCATACAAAAGCGATTCCAGTGGAGGGGACAGGTGGAAACCAGATCATAGTTCACTTAAGAACACTACATTTCTGAGGCATATTTTGATACTGGATAACCCTGCAATTGGGGAATTAATTCTGTAGGGTTGAAACACTGAAACTTTACTCTCTCCCAGGAGCTACAAATATACTTTTTATTTAATTTGGAGAACAGAGGGACTTGGGAATTAGACTGAGAGAGAATTACTGCTATGGGGATTCACTGTTATGTTATTATATGGAGAAAAGAATGCTGAGTTTTAGGGGAAGAGTGAAGAAACAATAGAAACAAAATATAAAACAGCACAAACAAAAATAGAGAACTTTCTGTAATAATGCAGCAGGTAGTACTAACCTAGGGCTGCCAGGAGAATAGGGGTGAGTGCCTTTGAGAGTCTACACCCACCTGCTAAGGGCCATTAAAGATGCATGTTTGCAAGCACTTTATGACATAACTGCTCTTACCTTTCTTTTAATATCAGTGAACTGCGAAAACATTAAAGACCAATAAAATGACAGCTCCAGGATGTAATAGTAGTGAAGGTCAGTTGTGAGTGGCTGAAGGTAAAAGAAAAAAAGGAAAGATTAATAGTTAATAGGGAACCCAATTTGTATCCCAGACATCTCAAGCTCACTGCTCAAAAGTAACATGGTCTTGCACCTCCACAAAGGCAGTTCCTGCCCTATTTTCTTTGTAGATGATGGGGCTTTGAGGATAACGTTAATCCACAGCTTGATGATATTACTCTCATTTCATCTCCAACTCAAAAAGCATTAATTAGCATGAACATCTGGGACTCAATTCATTATTCAGTTTAACAATAGTATTTATGATTCTTTGTCACAAGTATCTGCAAGATTCCTTAAGCAACCTGAAAAAAAAATTCAAATACAAAGAATAACCCTGGACAACTGCTATGAGTGTAGGGACAAGAAGGTAGGTGACAGGAACTGGAGTACTGTATGGGTCACTGAGGCATAGTTTCAAGTTCTGAATTAATCAGAAAGCTTTTTTTTTGTTATTAGAAAATTTTCAGCACATTTCAAATATAAAAAAAAAAATTCCCAAAAATATTTATTAAAAGATCAGAGGGACAGGAAGGCTGCCAGAAGATGCCAGACTGGGCACCCAGCCAGGATATCAGATCACATCTCAGATCCACAGCTTAGCAGGTATAAAACATGGGTCGAGGTTTACTTATTTGTAAAATGGAAGTGATACTTGCTTTAACTGCTTCAGAGGTTCAGGGTTGAGGGGACACTCAGAGAGGCAGTGGAAGTCAGGAATATTTATTTTGCACATAATCCCACTAAAAACAAGAGTTTTCAAAAAATATTTTCAATGAGTTGTTTTTAATTGTTATATTGAGTTGTAATGAAAGGTCTTGCTTTATCAAAATGAGTGAAAAACCTTTGAAACTCATCACACAAACAAGTACATACCCCTACACACAAGACAATACCATATATAGTAAATATAATTGAAATGTAAATGTTTTGTACAGCAATAGCAGCATAATGAATGACTATCATGAGAAGCTGGCACTCACCAACTCTAAGCATGGCAATCATGGAAAAGTTGTCCCACATAGATCTTTGACAACAAAATACACAATGGGGCAGGATACTCCAACCAGCAATCCTAAAGTCTAAATGACAATGAGCACTGCTGTGGACTGAAGTTTGTGTCCTCCCAATATTAATAAATGAAGCCTTATTGCAATGTGATGGTATACGGAGGCAGGGCCTTTGGAAGGTAAGGAGCCCTCATGAATGCGGTTAGTGCCCTTGTAAGAAGGGACGTGATCTCTTAGGGTATTCTCTTGCAGCAGCCTGAACTGAGACAAACTGAACTGTCCTTTTAAAACTTGAAGGCATTAACGATGAAGGATGGATATTCAGGGCAGATGGATGGCTGCAATGAAGTTTAGAAAATCGGGCCTTGGCTCAGGACCCTTTGAGCCAAGGGTAAATTTTAGTTTTAATGAGATTCTCTTTCTTCCACATGACCACCTGCGGAAAGGTCCCAGAGGAATTATAAGGGCAAGTTAGAGTGCATCTGGAAACCACAGAGTTCATGGAGAGCATCCCATTATAATAATTACTATGTCTGAGGAGTGCTTTGCAGTTGACAATGCTCACTCACATGTTAATTTCTTTGGTTCTCATAAAAATCCCATAAAATTAGTACTGTAATTCTAGACCTAGATTGTATAGTTGACAGGAAACTGCTGTCGGTTAATTCAGGTTAAGAGGCTAAGCCTAGGTCTCACAGCTAGTGAGGTCCGATGACCACCAACTAGGGTATCTCATGTCCAACTTGTGCTTCCTATTGCAAGCTATACAAAGTTCAACTGAATACAACATCACATTATTTTAACCTTAAAATATACACAGGTATATGAAATTATTTAATACGTTACAAATAATATACGTATTTATATACAATAAGTGTATCTGTAATAAAATTGAAGTAGACCACTACTTTTTCATCTAAAAGTCTGTTCAATGATTTATTTAACATATATACTAAAGACATAATAAATATGTTTCATAAGCATGCTCAGTCTTTAAAATTACCCTTAATGCTCACATTGGCATGCTTACACACAAAGTACTATAATTGCATACACAATAATTGTATGCTGTTTAATTCCCCCCCCCCATACACACACAAATCTGCTAATATTCTTTATTACTATATGGCATTTTTAAAGATGGCCACCATTCCCATGAGAGACTGTGAGTTTGTGCTACATTTCAGGAGCTATATGCTGAATTATTACACAGAAGACAATCTTGATCTGAGTCCTCACAGATAGCATCTTGCCTTTCATGCTAGCCATGTTTCCTCTTTTTAAAAAGATAACTATCCACCAGACCCTCAGACTTTCACGTTGAATTGACAGTGCCACCTGTGAAATCCTCTGCAGCTACAGTATAGGCCATAGCTCTATCTGGGATATGATTTTAATCACACTTTCAATGATGCTGTTTTTAGTTGCAGAAGTAATCCTTCCATGTGTCATAGTACAAGCCCATTTTTCTGCACTCAAGGAAATGGTGCTTGATTTACATATTTGGAGGCTGCTTCTAAGCCACAAAATGAACTGAACTCAATGTACCTGCTCCAGCCTCACACTTGAGCTCTCCCATTTGCTGTTGAGGCAGGTCTGTGCTATGTCAACAGGACTCCAGACTTACCTCAGTGATTAGAAGCAGATCAGCTGTTAGGAGCAGGAATTTTCCACCTGTTGAACTGATTGATCCTATTCCCTTGCAAATGTACTTTCCAAACTGACTCCATCTGCTAGGACAATAGGGCCTTGATTCTGAACTTCACTAAGAATAATGCACATATCCTCACTAGATTACATCCAGCACTTATCAGCAGGAGTGGGGTCAAAAATGAAGGTGGCTGCCCAACCTGTTGGGGCCTGCCTGAGACCATGAACTTGACCTAAGGTAGATACTCTATGTGTGTAAAAACCCAAACAATAATGCCTCCTTACCTGATAGGGGTAGTTGTACCAGCAGTGCCTCGTATTCCACAACCAGGGGGTCTGAAAAAAATGACAAAGAAATATTTTACATATTTTAGAAAGTGGATAAGAAGACAAAAAAGGTTTACGATAGGCTCTTGCCCCAATATTTTGGGATTTCAATAATTTACCTGTGTGAGAATTGAAGAACTTTAAAACAGCTAGGCATAAGATATTAAAACAACTAGTATCATACAGTATATTCTCTTTTGGTAATCTACAACTGGTAGTATTTTAGGCTGCTTCTGGGGTGCAGTCCCAGCTGGTTGTTTTTTTTTTTTTTTCTCTTTTGCTGGTCACTTAGATATATTCCTGCTACGTAACCAGCCTCAACAGCAGGGCCCTGCCGGGGTCTCACAGAAACCAGATGTAAATCCTCCATCTCACTCTTACCTATAAACACTGATAACAGTATAAACAGCCCTGAAACTCCTGTGACTCGATCTTTACCAAGTGACATTATTCATGCCTTTACCAGGATTCAGTGATAGGCAGGCATACTTCTTATTTCAGAAGCATACCTCAGAATAACCCTCACGGCACATGCCAAATCCTGACCTGTGGTCAAGGTCTTTTTATGACAAAACAATTATTCTTAATTTGAGGGCAATTACTTGCCTTATGATACAGTATAATTAAGCAGGAAAATCTAAGTGTATGCACAGATTCCAAATGTTTGTTAATAATCAGGGAGGGGTTGGTATGAATTCAAAGAGACAGCCGAATTATCCAATAAGACCAGCACAAACTTTCTTATAGTTTCAAAATAATTTCAAAATAAGCACTAATGTTATAATTCTTTTGCATGCCTTATCTACAGCTGTCAGCACTTTCTGATATACAAATTGCTTAAACCTTTGAATCCCCTTACAGAATCACCTTCTTAATGGAAACAATTACTTCTTCTTCAATAGATTCATATGATGATTATCTGATATACATCTATATACATTTGATATACATCTATATGTTTCTTATGATTAATTTGCCAACATCATCATCAGCCCTGTATCATAGGAATGAGGACAATTAGCTTCAGGTGGCTAACATCTGCCGGGTCCTCCTTATGTCCTACATACTTTTAAAGGCTCCTACACATATTAACTCATTTAATCCTTATAGTAGCTACTAGTATTTTTCTTATTTTATAGATGGGTAAATGGAGACCCCAAGTCTGTGAATAACTACCTAGGTTAAATAGCTAGGCAGTGGCAAAGTTGAAAATCAAACTCAGACTCACTGGTCCCAAACCCAAACATAACCACTGTGCACGCTGTTCCCGAGTCTGATCAAACTGAACCCAATCTCAAGGTAAGGAGCCAGATTCCTATAAAAAGTCATGCACTGTCCTAAACCTATGTTCCAGAATCTTTACATTTTCCTTTCATTCAAGCACTATTCATTTTCTTTCCTTTTTGAGATCTTAATTTGGCTCCTCATTTTGCCACCCGTTCAACACAGTCTGTATCATGTAATCTCACTGCACTTAACTTCCTAAGTGTCTGAGTTGTATATCTGGCTGTCTCCTCCATTTCTCTTATCTATAACATCAATGTTCATTACTGACCTCACAGAGTGATTGTGAAAATCAGATGAGATAGTGTGGATAAAAATACTTGGGAGGTTTACTGTGTTTTTATAGTTAAGTCAGCAATATGTGTCCATTGAAGAAGACGTAAAAACTAAAAAATAAATATAATCTAAATTTTTATCACTGTTAACATTTTTACATATAGTCCATTTTTGTTCTTTTGTTCCTATGCAATCAATTTACTTTTAAATGCCCATATATATGCATGCTTTAAAAAATGTGGGCACAACACAGCAACATCTGTGTTAAAGTACAAATGTTAGTTATTACTATTCTCTCTGATAAAGTTGATTATCTCCTCATCTGGAAGTCCCTGAGGGAAAGTTACGTCATACGCATGTTTATCCTCTCACCAACAGACTTCCAAGTTCAGAGTTCAGCACTCATCTACTGAATGCTAATGAAAAGGAATACAGAATGGAAATGCAAGGACTTGTGTTCATCTAAATATATCAGTCCCAAGACCAGTAGGCATGTGTGTGCTTGCCCCTAAGGATGCAGCAGTCATCTCTGTCACGGTGCCCATACCTTCCAGTGACAGGCAGGAGGACAAGGTGTGATTCTCAATGATCCAGAAAAATCCATCATTCAGAGTTTCCCTTCCTTTGTGAGCTTTTTGGCTGATTAGTCCTCTAAAGCCCAGGCTTTTCTCTGTGTGCATCAGATGTGCATCACCTAGATCTGCTTTTGCTGTGTGCCCGATGCCTGACTGAACTGCAGAAACAGTGGATAAGTGTGTGCCTCTCACCGGGCTCCTGTGCAGCAGAGGCAGGGGTACAGGCCTGGATACCATGAATCTGACAGAGCTACCAGGACCCAAGCTCAGCTCACAAGTTTTCTGGCCCATCATTTAAGAATAGACTCTTTTGGCTGGGCGTGGTGGTTCATGCCTGTAATCCTGGCAGTTTGGGAGACCGAGGCGGGCAGATCACAAGGTCAGGAGTTTGAGACCAGCCTGGCCAATATGGTGAAACCCCATCTCTACTGAAAATGCAAAAATTAGCCGGGCTTGGTAGCACACATGTGTAGTCCCAGCTATTCAGGAGCTGAGGCAGATGAATCTCTTGAACCTAGGAGGCAGCGGTTGCAGTGAGCCGAGATTGTGCCACTGCATTCCAGCCTGGGTGACAGAGCAAAAGTCTGTCTAAAAAAAAAAAAAAAGGAATAGATTCTTTCACAGAGAATACATGTTCACATATACCCCTCACTCTGACAACATCAGGTATTAATATCATCTTCTATATGCACAGCACATTTGTCTAGGATCTTCTGGTCCCCCGCAAAACACCGTGAGACAGAACAAATCTCTTTCCCAATTTATAGATATGAAAACTGAAGTCCATGAGTTGATTCTCCTGATTTCTTATAGCTCAACACTGGTGTATGAATCTGGATTGACTGTTTATAATTTAGGCATGATTTATTTAAATTGATACAGTAAAGTTGACATTTATCTACTTTTGCCATTGATAAAAATTTTCCAGTTTTTTAGAATCATTTCCACATTCATTTGATGCTAAAATCCATATATTCTATCATACAAATTATAGGACAGTAATGTAATTAAGGACTTAAAAAGATGAAATATTTAGACACCATAGAAGAATGGCGATTAAACATATACTAAAACCCCTCAATTTAGAAGGTTAGGCCTAACATCTCCCTAACTAATAATAAAAGCTCTGTATCCAGGGGAATGCATGGCAATTCAAGCACATTTTACAGAAAAAGAATGTCTTTTTCACATGTTACAGCATCAAGGAATGTTATCAGGGTTGGAAAATCTAAAATCAAATTTTGGGTCAGTGGTGGTGGCTCACACCTGGAATTCCAACATTTTGGGAGGATGAGGTGAGATGGCTGCTTGAGCCCAGGAGTTCGAGACCCGCCTGGGCAACATAGTGGGACCTCATCTTTACAAATAATATGAGAATTTGCACCTATAGTCCCAGCTACTCAACAGATTGAGGTAGGAGGATTGCTTGAGCCTGGGCGGTGGGGGGCCCAAGGCTGCAATAAGCCATGATTGTGACAGGCATTCCATCCTGGGCAACAGAGTGAGACCCTGTCACAGAAAATAAATATTGTTCCAATAACGTATGATTCACATTATTCCTTCTCACACATGAACTCTTAAATAATGTTATAAAACATTTCACAGATTTAAAGTATTTTATACATATCATCTCATTTAATTCTAACAACAGCATTGTAAGCAATCAAGATAACATCACCAGCAGAGGCCAGCAGATGCAATTAAAGATTTACAAGGAACATGCCAGCTCAGTGTTTCACCAGTTAAACAGTGTTAACTGGTGTTAAAATGCGGCTGAGGTCTAGGTTTGGGGATGAAATTCTGCATTTCTAAAGCTCCCTGTTGAAGCTGATGCTGTTAGACCATGGACCACACTATGCAAGTAGTAAGATACTAGGGAAAAGTAAGAAGAGTGATTCCATCTTTTTGGTATTTACCACGTGCAAGGCACCTTGCTAAACACTTTGTTATATTTCACAGTCCAGTATAGGTAAATGAATTAATGAATTATTTCCAATTTTTGTGAGAATCATTTGAAGCAGAAGAACGATTGCTAGTAAAACAAGAGCTAAAGATATGCCTCTCATCCAGCCTCCCTGGCTGGTACAACTCTGGTGTAAGCAAAGTTTGTATGTGCCACTTGGGGATGGTACCCCTAAAAGGTCAGTGTGAATGAATTCTTTTCACTCATTCTCCATTCCCATTGAAGGGAGATAATGAAAACTGAAGCAGTCACTACTGGCCCCGAAATGGAAGTTTCTATGATATCTGGTCTCAGACGTCTCCCACTAGCTCTGATCTGCTTCCCTCCGGATTATATGTATGAAATAAATAAATTCCTAACATTTCTCTCATATTTAAGTTAGTGTGTTTTGTTTTACTTATATATACAGTAGCATAGCATGTATTCTTACTAATATTAATATATGCATCAAGGTAAGTATCAATTTTTTTGTAGACAAAAAAACAGTCTCAGAGAGGAACAGTAATTAATTAAAGGCTACGCAGCTGATAAGTTAGAGAAGGTGGAAATCAAACCTAGGACAGCTGGGCTCTTCCACTATGCTTTCTGCTGGGTACTCTGGGTAACAAAGAATGAATAATGAAAGAAAAACATCACAGGCATTTGGAACAGATTCCCTCCAAATGAGCTATGACCTAGAAACACTGAATTTTAGGTTTAGAAAGGACCTCCAAACCCTGTAATCTACAGAACAATCCACAGGTCCAGATGGGTAACCAGTTCTTACTATTAAATAACTCCACGGTTATCTTACTGACAAGACCCTTTAGGCTACTTTCTTTCCTTTTTTTTTTTGACTTGGTCAACAGAAATTGTATCCTCTTTTCTTTTCCTTTTTTTTTTGGCATCTGCTCTAATCCCTAACATGGCTG